TAAAAATATATTGCAATAAGTTCCAAGAATAATCATGACATTTTAGATTAATTCATAATATGTGTTGTTGCAGATTAAAAAGGAAAAAATGTCTTACACACACACAAAACGTTTCCTGCATATTTGCTGAGTAAATGGAACACAAAAGTTACAACAAAATTACACACCAGTTCTCTTAAAACAGAAATCAAACTATAGTGGTGATCAAGCTCTTCCATGACTTGTATTAGCCTTACAGGCAAAAGCCTAATTAAATAGCATGAAGATTATGAAGAAAAGTGGGATGAATAATTTAACTAGTGCAATTATTCTGCATGCATATGCACATATATGCAAACACAGGTAGTGAGTGAGTCGGCATGTGCACGTGTGCACTTACCTATACATTTCAGAAAAGGAACTGTTCTTTATCCACACAATGAAGAAAAGGCATCATTCTGAAGCATCAGATTAAAACTTCAGTGTATTAAATGCATATAAACCTCATGGAGCATTCAACACAAGAAGCAGAAGTTTCAGTAGTTATAAAGCACGGGAGGATATGGCAACTGGTAGATCTGGGAACATATGCCTAAAAGGCAGCCCAGCAGAAAGCAACATGACAAGGCAAAAGAAGAGAACAAGAACAAGGTTGCCATTCTGGTCAGTTTGACCAGACGACAAATAATGATATAAAGAACAAGATGCAAGGTAGTTCAAGATTCTGAAATCCTGACGACCTGGAGGCAAACCTGGTGGGAAGGTCGGGAAAGGCAAGTAGTAGACAAAAACAGACAACATGATCTGAGTAAGAAATGACACAAATTATTTGATGAGCTGTACGAGGAATCTCCAACACAACATGCCCTCCAAAACCTAGATGCATTAATCTAGGCGCTACCAAAAAAACACAGCAATGACTTCACCGATAAGGACAGGAGACAACATGTACAACTTGAAACACAGAACCTCCAAAGGACAACAAACAACACAATCCAATTGCCCTGATTATATTTTAGACTGAGTGTAAAATTGTCAGTCAATTAAAATAAGGAACAATACATAACCTCATGATTGCTATTTGTACTAGAATCCAAGAATATTTGGATTACACACAATAACAGCTTACCAAGTTTCACAAAGCTTAAGTCTGAATAACCATTGACACAATTAGAAATAGTTTACCTGTAAAGCAGCCTCAAGCAGCATTTGAAGAAAAAACAGACTGTAAACAACCTTGGCAGCAGCAAAGACCATAATTCACAGTAACAGGTTATTATTTCTATGGAAAATTATAAGATAATTGCCCACAACTTACATCCTTCACCAAGCACCGCTGCTCTCTAACAGTAAAAGCCTCAACTACTGCCCAGTCCTGAAACTAGGCCTATTGAGCCCAAACAAATTAAAATTTGAACATCAGTGATAATTCTCAAGCTCCACATGTTACCCATTTTCCCTCTTTCTTTTCCTTCCTTGACTGTAGTTATCTACTGTCTGTCTCTAAACAGCACATCAGAACTGCCCTAAAACCCATCATTGTATCTGCTGAATGAATTTCAGCTACTGCAAGTCCTAAGGCTTCCCACCAGCTCCTGCAGGAACGATGAGACGAAGGGACAAAAACCATTTTCAGCAACCAAACGTTACTTTTCCCCATTCGTACTGACTCCAACTAAGGCTCAATAAATTATACTCTTAGCATGTATTTATTCCTGGATTCTTATCAGATTTCATTTACATTACGGGCTGGTATTTTTTTTTAACTTATGCTACAGATATAGAATATATTTGAATGAGATTAAGAAGTGTTGCATTACCTTTAAACTGGTATCTAATCCCTTTCAAAAGTACCTGCAGTATTAGCTCACTACTGGAGAGTTCAGTGGAAATATTTAACTTCTAGCATTACACCTGCAAAACCAATACTGATCTAGAGCTTCTGAAACATCCAAACAACAGAAGTCATTCCCCCCCCCCCGAAATGAGTTATCTGCATTTTTCTCAACAAGCAAGAGCAAGAATTATTGCACATATATAATTTTCACATTTGTGTACAGCTGAATACCATACATCAGACAGCATTTATAGAAGTTTACTTTTGCTCTTTACATGCAATAGCAGCTGCCATGCTACCTCCAGGTGCTGCACTCCTACTTGGCACAGTCCAGAAAATGAGACACATGACTGTAGGACTGTGCAGCACATGCACCTCTTCTACAGACATGCAGGAGGGAGAGTGAGAGAGAGCGAGCAACTTTTACAACTGTATGATTCCAAGATGAGTTTCCAGGAGTTCTAATGAAATGTTAAGAGTCCCAGCATTCAAATAAATTCTATTGTTCTATTTGTGGTACAGTCAAAACTAAGCTTAACGTTCTGTTCTGTAATACAAAATGAATATCTGCAATCCAACCCTATGCTTAATTATGTCTGTTTTTCTGCACTAAAGATACCATCCCTCAGTTCCAGTGCAGAGATGTGCTGCTGGGGAGAGATAAAGATGTGTGTGCAGTCTGCCTTTTACATTCTCTCAGGTACCTTTTGTTGAATAGTGGAGTGCTTTTGCTCCATGTCTCTCTTCTCCTTTGCAGCATCTACAGCCAACTGATCCAGCTGTAAAGAGAAACAGAAAATTGGATCTTTAGATATAAAGAGAAATTTGGCTCAGTAGATTTCATAATGCTGACAAAAAAAAAAAAGAACACGTTATGTCTAGACATTGCCTGACTTTTATTTGCACAGCATAATTACTTCTCTGGTCAGAAAGCGTTTACCTTGAATAACCACTGGAGCCTTGTTTAAAGCACTGCACTACCACCCTGAATTAACCTCTACAAAAGGTGCACATTTCTTTAAGCTTTAGCAGAAACGTTTCAGAGGACAGCATGGTGCCAAGCCTATGCGACTCTGCACCGCATTGGTGCTCAGCCTCTGAAGAGAATGACTCATGCTTTAGCTGCTCTGGCTGGCTGGCCTGTGCAGCACCACTGGCAGTAGCAGCAACAACCAGAAGGAGCAAATGCAACTGATTTTTCCCCTCCATGAAGCAGAGACTGCCTCAACCAGGCTTTTGTATTGATAGTTTTCATCAGGTCACCAGCAGTATTTGAGCAAGATTCCTTGAAATCTTAGGTAGAACCTTTCAAACTGTTTCTAGTTTCAGAAATAATAACACTAAGATTTTACAAAGAAGAGAGACTGTCACAGCAGAGAGAATTTAAGTTAGCATCCTTACAAAGTTTGCAATAATAATATAAAAAAAAAAATTGCTGCAAGCACATTTATAGCATTACTATATAAACTTTTTCCTTTTAAAAATAGAAGGGAAAGAAGAGGAAATAAATTTAAGATATCTTGTAAGAAAATAAGGTGATTTGGTTTTGTTTTGGGTGGCTTTGGTTTTTTTGGGGGGTTTTTTTGTTTGTTTTTTTCCCCCCAGACATTAATGCTTAAATCAAAAATACAGTGAAGTGGAAGAACACATGCTGCCTGAAAGACCCAAAAGTTAGCTTGGTGCTTATGTGACACGCTATGGAATCTGATGAACTCCTTTCCTCAGCCTGTAACACAAAGTGCCACTAACCCCAGTCAGGGCACCCTCCTGAACACCGCTGCTGATGCCACACTGACCAGAGTGGCACAGCCCACAGCTTTACATCCGTGGGACAGACCTCCTCCTGCTCCACGACTAGGAGGAGGGGACTAGGAGCAGTGTGTAACAGCAGTTTTCCAGCTGGTCAGTCTCGTGGCAGTGGGCACAGTATGACTAACAGAACCTCTAACTCACACACAAATAGGAGCACATCCACCCACTCGGACAACCACAAGTGTGAACCCCTGCCAGCTCCGGTCATTTTCTCCAGTGTTGCATTTCCCTGCTTGAAAGGATCTAAGTGAGAGAAAAAAGGGACAGTAACTGGCTATTACACTCTTGTGCTAGACAGCCTCCAACAACAGAGGAGCCATCAGATAGTTGGGACATCTGGATCCAGTTCCACGCTTGGTTACTTTTCTTAATTCTTCTCTGCATCAAATGGCTATAGCAGCACTTTCACACCTCCTAAGTATTTGTGAACATGAATTCATTAGAGACTGAAGTGTCCAGACATCATATTTATGTAGCTATATGACTTAAAAATGGTAGAAGAGCCTCTAAAACAGAGACTGGGCTGTCACTGTGCTCAAAGACTGTTTTGCACCAAGAACCCTGGGAAATCTGCTCCTTTGTGATAAAGATGAGAACTGGTCCGTGGGCTGCTCAAGGCTTTAAAGGAGTCCAGCTTATTGCCCGAACATCAGGTTCAAGAATCTGCACATGGCCCTCAAAGAATTCTTTCTCCTGCCCTGCTAGGTGAAACAGAAGGTAGCCAATTGCAGGGGTATTAATCTTAATTAGGACAATTAATCTTAAAATGCAAGGACACATTTACCACAGCCTAAGCACCAAAACAAAGTTCTTAACAGCAGCTCATCTCATAATTCACTTTTTTACTGTCAAGACAGCATTGCATCATTCCAGTTTCCAAGCTCAGACCAAAATTTCCTCTTGTCACTCAGGTGAGCATTGCATAAATTGCCTTAGAGAAAAAAGACCATCAGCAACTACCAAGAGCTGTGGCCAATCACAAAGCTAAACTAGCAAAGTAAACTACCACTGGGTAGTCTTAAAAAAAAAAAAAAAAAAAAAAATCAAGTTTTTCAAAATACTGCATTTACTGATAAATGTATTTTTATAAGCATATAGTGCTATGAATGGTATTCTGTAGAAAATAAGGCCTAAAATGTTTAGCTTTTTGAATAGTCATCTCAGAATGAAAATTCAAGTAGGTTTCCTTTTTAAAACTAATCACACGTTACACATGAAAAGTGCCAAATACTGTAATTTCCATGCAAAAGCTCGTTACACTTGTGTGCCATTAAAGATTCCACTGCAATGATAGGAGTCAAAAGCTATCCTGTCCTGACTTAAAATACCCAGAAAGAAAAACTTCTCAATCCTATTCCATCATTTAAACCGGTTATTTTGAAACCAAAAGAATTAAAAATTATAACTATACTATTTAAGATCGCTCCAGGTGCTGCCAAACCCTGTAGTTAAGATCACACATACAATTTACCTTGGAAAACTCACCAACAGAAAGTCTGAGTATTTTCAGAAAAATCTAGCAAATCCCTAAACTGCTATGTCACAGCATACCTTCTTTCTGACCTGTGAAAGGCAGAAGCTTCAAACCCCAAATAAACTGCAAAGCCATTAACTTAAAATTTCACAAGCTCTTTACAAGTCTGCTTCTGTCATGACAAATATCCATCACTTAAATGCCAAGGTCTACTACAAAAGAATAATTCAACAAGCTAGGCAACTTCAGGCTCTTTGGTCTATCCTTGCTCCAATTGCAACATATTTTAAACATTCTCAGGTTTAGGTTTTCTAACTTGAACTTGACCAGTTGCTATGATACCAGCACCAAAATGAATGTTACACAATACTCCTAACCACATCAAGCAAAAGGATGACCAGTCATTCAAAAGTAACTTTGTGTTCCTTGCTCAAATAAATCAAATAGAAACATTAAAGCCTAGCTGTTACCATAAACCACTACCAAATCCATAGCTTTGTGTCTCCTTTCCTCATCTCCGCTTGCGCAGGACACATTGGATACTATCAAAACACTACAGTTCCAACAATTACAACCCAAAATGGAAGGATGTGAGAAAGCAGAAGGTACAACTAAGGACAGATGTGTGCACCTCACCCTTTCAGGTGCCACTATGACACCTAACAAGTCATTTCCCTTCTCAATGCCAGTGCCAGCTCCGGCAGCCTGTCTCTCTTCCCAGCTCTACCACTCGCCTGTCACACGCCTGCACACGCACCTCCCCAACACATGTTTGCACAAGTAATTGAGACCCACAGCAACCTGGCTGGGGACTGATCTAGCAGAAACAGAACTATTAAGACATTTGACTGATGGAGTTATTTTCTGCAGTACCCCATCTGCTTCACTGCACAGACAGACGCAGGCTGATGGGCAGAGATGACAACAGTGCTGTGGCAGGAATAAGAAATGACATTGTTCAAGCTGCTTAAGACATTCAGTGACACATGTACTTGATGTGAATGCAAACACGTGCCTGCTGTCATTTATTTGCTTTTGTATCTCGATAGACACTTAGAATTTATTTTGTGGCTCAGGTTAGGAAGTGGCAATAGACAGTTTGGCATGCGTGCAGTTCTTGCAAGTCCTCAGAAAGAGGCAGGGAGGAGAGGAAAGTGCTGTATAAGTATTTCCAGGCCTATTCAACTTGCTTTCAGTACAAGTCAAAGACACGAGTGAGTCTCTTCCTGCATCAGACATCTTCAGTTGAATGTTGTTTGTTTTAAGTTTATTTGGCATAACCATTTCCAGTGTCTCCCACGTGCAGCTGGCTGTGGTCCATCCAATCTTTTCATGAGTCCCTCACTGAAAAACCCAAAAGCTACAATTGTGTGTTCTTAAACAACAAAAGCAGGAAAGAAGGGCTCAGTGTATAAACTCAGTTTTGCACTACCTACTAAGATCAGATTTACAGTTTATAGTCTAAGTTGCTAATATCAATGTTATTTTTGGCACAATGTGCAATTTATGCAGTACATAACATATACAACTAGAGGGAAAAATGTAATCTACTTTTATTATTAAATATATTTATAACATAGGGCCCATATGGAAAAATTTTCAGAACAAAATAATCTACTGTTCTGACTATCACAGAGTACCTCAAAAGGCATCACACAGCTATGTTTAAGTACACAAATCCTAAAGACAGTATTAATTTTAGCAAACTGACAGCTTCTGGTTTCTAACTATTTTCATTCAAACCACTCATTGTATTTTTATGCTTTGGCTTTATCACACTACAGTTCCTTTTTTGTTGACTAAATCTATGATGTACCTATGATGTGTAGTAAGTTTTCACCCATTCCAGCATATAGTTATGAGTTTCTAAAGTAATTTGTTACCTGTGCACCAAGATCCTTCATGTAGGGCTCAAGTTCACTAAAAAGGTCATAGCCTTGATGGAAAAAAGCCAGATGGGCATACATAAATGATAACATCTAGAAAGAAAAAAGAAAAATTTTTAAAAGATAAATATTTATCAGGCATGACAAACATATCACTTAACTAATGCACTTGAAAAAACTTAAAATTCTGGAGTTAACTTCTGCTCTCTTGTGTCCTAACAATTTTACTAGAATATCTCAGAGAGCTTGTAAATAAACATGCAAGGTAAAGACAGCAAAGACCCAAACCAAAAATCTCAGGAATTAGTTAACAGGATTAAACCCATTAACAAAACAAATCAAACCTAGTTAATAGCAGAAAATTACTTCAAACTCACACCACCTGAAACTTGTTACCTCCTGCTTAACTAGGACATGTAAATTAGAGAGGGGCTACAGAATATATTTACCAACAATCCCAGACTTAACTTTTATGAACATAGCCAAGAAGACTGCCCTGTCTTAAAACAGAAAAGTTGGGAAGATGCAGAGCAGAATGGCAAGCAGCTATAAAGTCGTGATCTAACTAAAGTTTTTGCTGTTTAAAGGAATTAAGGAAATTATGGGAGTGACACTAAACCCTTGACAGAAAAGCGTCGCTTAATTTGCCACTCTCTACCTCAGTAAACTTTCCACAGACAGCGTGGCAGAAAAGGGAACACTATCAGAAGAAAACTAGTGTGCAGATATAACTGTATATTAACTTAGCAGATATCACACTAAAGCATATTGTATATTTGCTATTATTATATGCTAGTTACATTAAAAATAGTTGTGTTTTTTTTAGAAAGAGATTAATCCATTTTAGAATAGATTATAAGAAGTACTTATTGTTTATAGATTAATCTAGGAGACCTAAATAGCAGAATATTGGGCAAAGATTGATTTTAACCAGAAAACACATACCGATGGTCAACAGCAGTGAAAACTTTAAAGTACTCAAATCGGAACCAAAAGGATTGCCAAAACAGTTAAGTATCTATGCTCAGTTACAGTAAAGGCTAAACTGACTGTCACTGAAGTGCCCAATGTACTGATCTTTTGATGGGTAAAAGAACTAATTTCTAATATATTGCTTTGCAGTCACATTTTTAATTTCAGATGTATTTGAATATTTCCTATGCACAAAATACAGTATCTCTTACCGATTTTAAGATTTCTGCTCTCCTTTTAGACTGAAGAACGTTGATCTAGGAAAAAAAAACAACAAAACAAACATGCAATTCATTTCATTCTACTTGCAAATATTCTCCACAGAAATAAACTTCAAATTATTTCCAAATAACCATATCAATGTTTAAAACATTGGAAGAATCTAACTCAGTATCAGACTTCACAAAGCACTTTTAGAAGAAGATGCATGCTAGTTTTGTCATGGAATTGAAGCGATGCAGTCAGAAAAAGCCTGTGAAGCTAGAATTGCATGGTGACAGTCACTTTTTTGTATTAACAGGGAAAATATAAGACATCACATGCTAGCTAGAAATAATATGATACACTTTTCAAGCAAGAAGATTTGATACCAACTTTTAAGAGACTGAATTCAACATGTTTCAAATACCCTTTCTCACAGTATGAGCTAACCCAGCCCAACAGCTTCTTAAAGTAGCCGCGCTCAGCTCCACTGCCACCTCCTGCCAGGGGACAGGAAAGGACCAGGGCATGTTTATTTTTTTCCCCTTGGGCTGATGTTATCTGAAGTGTCCCAAAATTGGGATAGAGCCCCAGCCTTTGAAACAAGCTAGATGATAATAGCTTTAATGAGTAACTTTCCATACATACTTGCAATTTTAAGCTAGCTGAAGTCACTAATTAATGGTGTTGCCCTAGAACTTGAAGAATTTAACATGATATAGAAAAAACAGTTGATTTTTCACATTCACCTAGCTCCTCTATCCTCTTTGTCACCTAATCTTTAAGGCTGTCATCCACAACTAGTGACTTTACTTCAAAAGCCCCAGAAGAAACATGCATGACCTCGCAATCTAACGCCTCTATGTCAGTTTAAAATTCCAGCAAAAGAAATAAACTTCCTGAAACTACAATCAAAACCAGATTGTACTTCTCAGTCAGTATTTTGGAAAACTTTCTGCAGCAAAAATAATCAAGGTTTGTTTGTATAGAACAAGCCCTCAACTCCAGGGGCAAAAAGAACATAAAAGGAAAGCAAAAGTATTGAAAGAGTTTAAAGCCAATATAGCTACAAAGAGACCACAGTTGTGAAGCCACTTTTCCAGAACAGAGTCACCTAAGTATAAGCAGAAAGAACACCTAATGCTGAACTCATTTTTGCCTGCATTAATTAAAAGATGCTGAAACTTTTCCCCGTTACTTTAAATGCATCTTTATCGCATGAACTGCTCATACTTTGAGCATACAAATTCCAGGAGGCAGATCTGCAGTTCAATGCACACAAGGATCTGGCCTCCAGTAAGTACTGACAGCTTCCCCTCCACTACTATTTGATGTTAGTGCAAATAATCAAGCAGTACATAATTCATGTGACTTCTTAAACATAAAAAAAGAACTTTGTCCTTAGTGTTCAGAAGGCAGGAGTTCCATGTTGGCCACTGGCCACCATACCCGTGGACATGCCTGGGCTGATCACATTGATTCCTCTTCACTTCACATGTAATACAGGCAATGTAAAGAACACTTAACTAAGCTTTGACTGTCACAAATCCAGATAATAATGTCTAACATAAAACCAACATAACTTTAAAAGGTTGTTCTGGTTTTGGTCATAGGAGAACCCCAGACCCATTTACAAGCCCCCAACCGTTGGAGCTACAATAACCCTGCAGTTTGCTGTAGTTGTGGATAACTATGAAACAGATGAATTTTAAATACTGACAGAAAATTTACTATTATTTCACAGGATTCAAAGTAGCAGGACAAATAACTCTCACTCTGTAGGAGATCAGCACTAAAAAGCAGAAGAGTAGTTTTGTTCTTGATTTCCCCTATAGCACAATGCCAAACTCTGAGGCTTCCAGACAAGAAGGATTTGTTAAACAAAACCTAAAGCAAACAGCTGAAATTATGGTAGTTGCCAACATCCTATTTCAGAATTATCCAAGTAATTTGTGTTTCCTACACTAGGTTACAGTTTTTCCTTCAAATATATAAGGAATTACAGCATAGCCAACTCACAAAATGCATTCAGGTATCAGGCAAGCAGTGGTTTTTCAAAATTAATGTTCAAGTTGAAAATTAAACTGTGTTATTCCAACAGCACTGAACACCAAAGCATTAAGCAATAAGAATGTACCAAGTAAATTAATTTCACTCAGATTTCACTAGAAGAAAAATTACTTGAAGGCAGTTATTTCTTTTTCACTGAAGAGCCAAAGCTTCTGATAAGCTAACAGTAAGAACTTCTGAAGGAGTGATCTCTACCTATATGGAACAGATGGTTTTGAAAACTAACTTCAATAGATGCACTTACCTGAAGAACATAATCCAGAGCTATGTGTCGAAAACATTTCCGTGTTGCAGTCAAAATATTGGTTGCTTCCTCTACTTCATGTTGCTTATTTCTTTGAACTTGAGCATTTTTAACTAGAGCATTCTCTTTTTCTTCACTAACTTTTTCAAACTGTTTCTTTGCATCTTTAAATTTCCTGATATCTCTAAACAAAAAGATGCATAACAAATGAATTCCAAAGCACAAAAAGTGGTTAAAAATACACTAGACAGACCATGCTCATGACTTTTTTAGCTAGATTCTTGGTTTTCATATTCTTCAATAAACATTTGGATCAAATGGAAATCATACAAAGTACAATAAAAGCTTTTCTGAATTTCTCTTATGAAGAAAGGACAAAATTGAAACTTAAATGCATCTCATCTTACTGGGGAAAAGCTTTGGTAAGCACTTTTTTTGCCCCTAAGATTAGACAATGATAACATTTAATTAAGATCAGTAATTCATAGTAATTCAACATTTCTGCAGCTGGATCTAAAGCCTCACTGATTTGGGGTGATTTCTGACAAACTTTAATATGCACTTCTCAATTTATGGCTGACAATTTTGGGGAAAAATATTTCATCTACCCACTCAAATCAAATGTTTTTAAACTCTATTTTACCTATAACTTTTTCCATTACAATTACAAATTAACTTACTCTTTAACAAAAGTCTGAAGCTGTGCTTTAATTGATCTTTGGGTTTGGTCAAACAGGATCTGAAAGAAAAGGATAGTAAGGTAGGTCAATAACTTACTGATATTCACACTTTTTCACTTTAGATATACAATTATTATGCAGAATTAGATTATAATTATTAGTAAACCAATATGTCTTTAAAGTCAAAGTATAAAACCTTTCAAAGTAGTTTTCAAATTAAAAAATATATATATAAAAAGGAATGTAACACAAACCAAACACCAATGGTGGGTGTTTTCTTAAAGACTGTGGGGTTATAAGGAGAGACAAGAGCTCCTGGCATCTCAATCTCTCATCCTGACCTTGTAAGACACACCCACTCTCATAGGATGCATTAATTATGGTTGTTAAACAGTCAAGACTATTACTGTACAAACAGCCTTGAAGAAAAAACCTTGAATGTTAAGTAACAACTTTTTCTGATTCTTATAGACCTTCACAATTTAACCAACAACTAAAGAAAAATTAAACAAAAGAAAAATTAAATCATAGAAAGACCATGCCCTTAACTTCCAGAAAGTAAAAAAAGCCCACAGACTGAAGTTGACGATGAAGATGTAACAGACATGAGTCCTTAGTACCATCTCCTATACACGATCCACTTGTACAAAACACCCACTGTTGACCTGCTGAGAGAATGGCTGCTTATTTTTCTAAGATTAAGTGTTTTAAGCCATGCTTCTCAGATTTCTTATCATTTGGGCAGGGGGAGCACAGCAGAATATAATCTACTCATTGAAATGGTAAAGCTTGAGAAATCTGTTACATTCCCAAGGCCAAAGCACACCTGAGCGTTAGACAACTTGCATTTTCCTCTTATGACCCCAGAAATTCTCTAACTGAATTAAACGCAATGAAAATGCAAATTCCTTCAGCTTCACATCTGCCCTTTGAGTTTTAGTACAGAATGGAACAAGTCAATGCCTATGAGACAAATCCTTTTGTTACTCATCAGACCACAGATGATGCCATAATTTCCAACTCCTCTAACATCTCCCATTCTGCGTTAGAGAAATACACAGGGCACAAAACCAAAAAACAGAGGTGAAAGAATTAAGGAAGTAGTAGCTGGCCCAACTGAACAGAATGTCTTCCAGAAGGTGTTAAATTGTTGAATTTAAATTGTTAAAAGTGTTTAAGTGTTATATAATTCTATTGAAAGAGTAATTGAAGAACTCCCAAGTTTCAGGTCAAACATTTTCTTGAACTGTTCTCAGTCTTTTCCTATTCACAAAATTTAGGAAAAGCCATACAATGCCAAATACTGACAGCAAAACTCTCACCAGTGTGTTCTCTTTTCTTGAAACACTGAAGGAAAATATGCTCAAATTGAAGTCACCCTTTAACAGTGGTACTATATCCTCCACCCAGTCTCCATATTTGGAGGTTTTGAAGACCAAATGGGATAAAACCCTAAGCCAGCTACTCCAACCTCAGAGCTGACCCCAATTTAGGCAGGCAGTTCAACCAGACATCTCCTGATGCCCTTTCCAACCTGAATTGTTGTATATCTAAGAGTAACCCACCAAAGATCCTGTTTGTCTTCCTACTTTGTGAAACCAGAAAAAAACAGACAACTAGACTAAAGAACTTCTTGACAAGCTGGAAGTCATGCTGGGACTACTCCCACTGCTGACATTTAAGCTTGCCAGTGCCTGAGGAGTGCACCAATGAAGATCAATACAGAAAGAGTATAGCAAGATGGGAACTCAGTTGATTAGTGGACTCCCAGAAATGAGCCTTGCAATTCTGCTTACAGTAATGCAGAAGAAAAAAGCATTAGGCAGAAAATTACATTTTTTTTTCCTAAAAGAACAGAAAAAAGTGTCCTGGATCATAACCTGACTAGATTCATAACCTTTCAATACATTATCTTGCACATACTCTAAACCCAGTTTAAGTAAGCTGCTGTTTGCCATAAGATGTCAAATCTACTCTGCTACTGCTAAATCAGTGAAGATGCTGCATTAGTCTGGTTCCTAGCCTTATTTGTAGTAAAGCCTCACATGAGAAAACCAACAGTCATCCAGATCTCTGTGGAACTGTCTCCTACCCCTTCCTTCAGTCCTCTGGAAGATGCCTGCCTCATCTTTCTCCCTCTAGCTTCTTCTCATTCTTGATGGCTCCCCTGCCAACTTGGTGCACAACAGAGCTGACACTCTGAGCTAGTAAGTCCTGCTGAAATAAACAGATTCACCAAAAGCAACACAGGATGACAGCATGTCTGGCAAAGCCCTACATCAGAACTTTGTAACATGACTAACTTTTTATGTTTGTGTCTTTTGGTAAAAGCTACTGTTCTACTCACTATGCTTGAGCACAGCAAGAAAGTGGAGGGAAAAAAGCAGGACAGAACTCAAAGTGTTCCTACTTAGATCTGTAAAGAAATCTTTCAATGTGGCTTACTCTTTGCTCTCTGCCTTCAAACTGCCCAAGGGAAAAGGGAAAGTCACACTGTGCCAAATTCTACCAGAACACTGCAAGCCACAATCATGTAGAACAGTAACAGCAGCCAGAATATAGGACGTAGATCATGTGTGTCAAAAAGAGCACATCATATAGTGAAGACATGATTAAGAGGGTAACCAGAAGCACATGTGATGAAGAGTGTAAAACAGTAACAGGCAACTGGATTCAGCCTCTCAGCTGACTCTGCAGAAATCACTGACATCAAAGTAACACTTCCTCCCACTACTGCTGCTCTGCACCTTTGCACTGTACCATCAAAGCATCCCTGTCCACTTACTCCTCTCTTGGCAGTTTTCACTGTATTAGATGTAGATACATACACCTCATACAATGAAAAGGAAATCCAACTCCACACTATTAACCTGCTTCCCTTTGTTTCCCTTCCCTTCTAAAAACACACATTTAAAAAAAAAAAGCCTAGTAAGGCAATTTTAGGCTGCTAAGTTAAATGCAAACCAACAACTTCAGCTGGAGTTTTTTGAACTGCATTCTCTGTATCTCACTACATTTCAAACTCCTGGTGGTATAAAAAAAAAAAGCTTTAAGTGCCCTGTATATTTTCAGCAGTTTAGAGACACTTCAGTTGCTTTCCAGCAATTTGCTGGAAAATGAAAGAAAAGCAGTAGGGGCCAAGGAAAGAGGGAGAAAATAGAAGAACAAACACATCCCTCTTTGGCGCTTTTTTTTTTTTTGGCTTTAGAGGAGAGAAAAAAAAAAATCTATTTCGAATCCAGGTAAAACTGAGCTTTCTGATGAAGTCTGACAAGTTAAAAATCACTTTGAGTCTTAAATCCTAGCATTTCCTCCTTTCTTTACACTTGCCTAAATCTGTCATACTTCCAAAAAGGGAGCTGCACACAAATCAGAGGTGTTTCATTTTGTGAATTATAAAAGGATGGAGAAAAAAGTATGGAAAACGTAATAATTATTTCAGCCCAGCAAAGAGATATGCTGACACTTCATTGCCAAGTAATCAGTTTGATTACAAAAAGATAAAACAATCCAGTATTTACTCTGTCTTACAGCACTGGGTTTTAGCAAAGCTTACAAATGCCAAACAAAAAATAAAGGGGGAGAAAAATCTGCAGAAAAGGAAATGTTTATAAATACTTCATAAACTAAATATTTACAAATATATGAGAGGTATTTAACACTACTTAAACCTTGATTTTGTAAATAGTATCAACAAGAAAAGCTTCAGGATTATTCTGTCATCAAATACAACTGGAGGCAAGCTCTCAGTGTCTTGTGTTTCAGCTACTAATACTTACATTGTGATAATTGATCATCTCCTGCAAGGTGTCAGAGAACTTTGTCAAGCTGGCCTGGAAAGAGGAAAAACAAGGTGCTTTAAGTTAAGCCCTAGCAAATACACAGCATGAAAGCAACATTTCAGAGGTTTACAGCTTTTCAATAAAGAACTTGGAAATTGATTTTCCTCAGCATGATTATCAAATTAAAACCATTTTGCTAGGAGGAGAACATGGGGGTAGTATCAAGCAAGTCTATTAAAGTTACTTGTAGCAAAAATATTACTGTTACCTACCTATATATAAAGGACCAAACTGAAGCAAAGCAGGAAAACACAAATTCACATAATTTAACACATTATTTTACAATATTTAATATTACATAATATTTATTAACATTTAATACTCCAAAACCCTGGTTAACATGTTGTATTTATCAGTACACACATATACTGTAGGAACTCCTGCTGACAGGCTTAGCAACATCTGTAGAATCGATGTTTCAGAGTTAGAAAACAACTGTCCCTAATATGTTCAGATAAATGCTTATTGCTTACACAAGCCTAACAAAAACCTACTTAGAATCAAAGAGTGTTTTACTAGTTTGCCATCACACTAGGTTTCTAGCAAGTAAATTCCCAGACAACTACAGTTTCAGTTGCACACAGACTACTCTGAAGTTCACAGGCATTACCTGTTTCAACTAGTGTGTGAAGATGCATGCATACAATTGACCTTCTACTACACAACAACCATCAAATACAGCTGATCTACACAGAGATGAGCACACAGTTATACCTGCACACTACACAATTTCAGACCTCATTTCACAGTAACATAGAAAATTGTAGGTGTTCCAAATGAGCTTAACAAGACATTGGTCTGAGGTTACACCAGAGTGGGCTCTGCACATTAAAAAAAAAAAAAAAACAAAATTATTATGTATTATAGAGTGCCAGTTCCACGGCCTAGAGGATCAGCTCTGGGGGTTTAGCTGCAGAGACCTGGCTCTTAGGAACTCATGACTAGAACCCCTTTGTTTAGCAAAGTAAACAGGGCAGCTGGTCACAGCTTCAACCTGACTTTCTCCACTCCTTCTAAGATGATTATTCCTAAACTCATACGTATTTTCTGGAATTTGGAAGACCCTTGCCATTGCACATTAAAGCTGAAACTAAACAGCACAAACAGTGCACCACAGTAAAAAAATGCACACTTAAGACATCTCAAAGAAAAAGAAGCAAAAAGGCAAATAATAGTATAAGCTTCAACTACTTCTCTTGCAACTGTTGTATTTTACCCTTTTTAAGTTACGCTTTTCTCCTTCCATTTCCACCTCTTAAAGAACTTACCTCAACCAATGCATCTTTACAGGAATATTGTGCGAGGTCTCGAATTCCATTCATGAACTGCTTGTTGGCTGTACAGAATGCTTTCCCAGTATCGATCATTGCAATGCAAAGCTTCACCAGCTAAAGAGAGGAAAACAGGACAAAGTGGAAGTTTTCTGGTTTATTTTGCTTTTTACACCACCATATAAACGTGAAACTCACTGCACTTAGCAAAGTCTAAGAATCAAAGATTTCAAAAGTAAAATTCTAAATTTACAGAGCCCCGTATTCTATGAAAAGTTTTCAGTTGTATAGTGATAGCTATAAAAATACTACTCCAGGTCAACTGATATGCCATTGAGAAGGTTACGACTCTTCGTAATATATTTATTTTACTGTTAACTGAGATTTTGCACATATTTCAAGAGAGGGATGTAGGAGGGCAAAAAGCACAGCAACTGAAACATAAATTGGTTGGGTTCTAACCAGTTAAGTGTTCTGTGGTTTCAAAGCCAAAAAAAATCCCCACAAAAAAGCCACAGCACTTGTTTCATCTTGAGGCACTCAGAGTACAGGCACAGGAAAGCAAAAGGCACAATGAAAACTGAAGAGAGTCTGCTACATCTCAGATGGTGAAATCGTTCATTTTCACTCATACAACAGACTAGTCTCTCTCTAAGGGGTTTCCATTCCCACCACTCCCTGCTCAGGTCAGCACCTTAGCTACCACGGGACCGTGGAGTCTGATATGAAGGCCATCAGTACCTTGTGATGGATGCTTTCCCACTTTTTGAACTACTTATGCACTGAGCCATTAATTAAAAAAGGGAAATAAGTGTAATCATTAAGATACTCTCTTGAGAGAAGGCAAATTATAATTGAGTTCCCCCACCCTAAACCAAACTAAGCATAAAACCAGAAGATATAACCTTTGTCTCTGAAGGATTTTTTCAAAGGGGTTAGATTAAATTTCATGAAGAACAACACAGAAGCACTTGATCCTATGCTAGAGCAAGGAAACTACCCAAGTGACCTTTCTGTCTTATTCAAAGAGTAGTTCCCTCCCCAATCCCACTGAGGGAGCAGTGAGTGAGTGGCTGTGTGTGGGTTAGTTGCCAGCTGGGGTTAAACCATGTCAGTCTTTTTCTGTGCCCAGTGTGGGGCTCAGAGGGTTCAAGACAACACAGATCTGATTGGAATGTGTCAGATTGAACTCGTAGCTGTTATTGCTGTTCAGCTATTAATCAGCAGGCTTCTGTGCTTGCCATGGGGCCTGTGTGCCTTGCTGTGCAGTGCAGTCCAGTGCTCGTCAGTGGCTGCTTTCTGCTGCCACTGCTGTGCTGCTGACCACCCTCCACTTCTGGGCCTGGGAGCAGTTTGGTAACACCAGTGGCCACGTGCCTGGCCTGGCCATTTGTGTTTCTGCTGTACTGGACAGGCTAGAACACCAGTGTGAGCCCGAGGGCATCTGTGGGCATGGTTACATCTGTGCCACAGCAGGGATACCTCTGAAAAGGGCTGTGACCCAGGGACAAGTCACTGATGCAGCAGGCACACCTTGAAGCACCTGTGACTTTGCATGGTCATGCTGGAGCACCTCAAAGTGTGTGGCCATAGAATCATAGAATCACTATGGTTGGAAAGGACCTCTAGGATCACCATGTCCAACCTTAAACCTAGTCAGTCAATGCCTTAATAATGCCACGGATAAGCCCAGGACAGAGCAGGTACACCACTGGGGTGGAATGAGCAAGCAACTGTGTGGTGCCTTGTTGCTGGCTGGGGTTAAACCCTGACACTACATTGCTTGAACAAGGGAGCCAGGGGAGATCTCTACAAGCACGATCCTGTTTTTTAAGCTCTCATCATTTTTGCTTATGGTTCACAGTCCTGAAGCCAGCATCCTTTGTTCTGGGGCAGGGGGGTACCACACAGATAATGTAGCCCAAAGTCATAATTGCGGGACAATAAAACTTAGTATGAATAACTGAGCAGAAAAAGTTACAGGCCAAGTCCCAAAAAGTGACCCTTTTAGACTGATGGACAACAAACTTCCAAGAGAGATTTTTCAGATCCTTTAAATAATTACATCATTTAATCATCACCCCTACAGTAAAAATGTGTCTTCTATCAATCAGTTTAAAAAAAATTCACACCAAATCAAAAATTTTGAAAGAGCAAATGGTTATATTAACTACAAAAGCTAGAAGAATTATGACATGAAGTAACAAAAAGTCTTCAGACTTGACACTGACTTAGTCATATTCAACTAGTAGCTAAGGAGGTGAACAAATTACACGTGCCTACCACATTAAAATAGAGGCAAAAAATAATTTTAAACATTTAGCATAAAATGCTAAGGAAAGGAGACTTTCTACAAACAAAAAAAAACAAGCCGCCCTAAAAACACTAGCAAAGAACAAAACCCTCCAAATACTACCAGTTAGGAAATCAATAAATGGATTTTAAGGCACTGAAGAGATGCAAGACAAACTTTCATACACATGTACAAGGTCCGACAAACGGCAGGATGAATTTTTACGATAGTTAAGTCCTCCAGATGCGAATGAAGGTTCTGTTACAGCTATCCTGCTGTGGGCTATCCAAGAGAGAAAGGGTTGACTTTAAATCCCTAAAACAAAGGATATCCAGATGTCCTCACAGTATGCAGCCATTACAAAACACGAGCTCTCGATGCTGGGGTGGCCAGCCCCTGGCTCTTAGCTCGCAGGAAAGCTGAGTTAGTTTGCATGTGGCTCCCACTGTGGGGCTGAGTCACATGAGTGTGAGGGGCCACAGAGTCAGGAGGGCATTGCACAATCCAAACCCTCAGAGCCAGGGCAGAAAGCAAGTTCTCACTGGCTGTGGCTGCTTCTTACTGAAGCCTGGGTCCCCGAGGCCCAGCTGTGCACTCGGCAGAGATCAGTTCCCCCTGCAAGGCAGAACGCTCGGTCGGCTGCTGCCGTTCCCCAGCTGTGCACTTGGAAACAAAATCTAATCACATCTTTTTATATTTTTCAGAATGGACACTGTTGAACTAAAAAGCTTACCTTGTCAAGTTTCAGTTCCAGTTCTGTCACATCTCCTTCTACTTCTTCTAAAGCTGCCCTGCATGGGTAAAAAATGTTTTTCCTGTAAAACTCTCCATAAAAATACTCTGGGACTGAGGGAAAGGGGCAGGGAGACATTAATTTAACCCATTTAATGCCATCCTAGTCTCACCTGAATTTCAGCTATTAAACAGCATAGATTTTAGAGAACCACAAGAATTGCGGAAAATTTGACGGTAGAAAGAAGAAAAACTACATCACTGATAAAACATATAGTTGAGTAGTAAAGATTAAAGATGAAATTTTATTAATCCTAATGTTTGTCACATTGAAATAGGTTTCCTCTATTCTTGTATAGCAAATAGTCTGTATGTTTGAAAGCAACAACAAAGGAAAGAAAGTCTGAGTGAAATCTCTGAAGTCATTCTTTTGGTGACTCTCCTGGCTCAAACCTGCAAACCTACAAAAGTAGAGCTATTTAATGAACAGCACTGCAATGAAATTATGAAAAATATAACATTTGCTACGAGTAAAACTGACTTAGCAGTAAGTTCAAGCAGCATACTTGTTTTTATCATTTGCCCCTAGTTTAGACTGGTTACAAATTTCAGGTCTGTCAAATTTTACTTGCCAGTAAAAGTTGCTTTCATGAAGCACTTCTAAAGCATAACTTTCTTTGCTTGAGAGCTGATGTTTCATTTGTCTTTCCCTGACCACTTGCCCCATTAGGAAGGATATTCTCATTAATGGGAGACGCATGAGCCAGATCCCTCCCTCTGGGCTCAGATCACATGCAAGAGGTCCAAGGTGGCCCACCACGGGAGGAAGGAATCGATCAATGTATCCACCCACGACACAATGTAGCAGAGAAGGGAGCGAGCCGATTCCACGTGGGAGAAGGAAGGACCCAGGCAATCAGTCTGATCCTGATTATATAGTGATTGCCAGGAGAAAACCTCACAATTCCCTTCCTGCCTCTTTCCTGTCCCGACATTACTAGGAACTCTACTTGCTGTGAAGAGTCGGGGAGCCCTTTCAATAGAGAATCCTCACACAGCACATGCACTGTGTGGACAGGCCTCCCAGCTGCACTGCAAGCAGAGTCAGCCTTTACAGAGGTGGTTTCTTGCCCCTCCTCTAAGGTCATGTGGAAGGTGAGGGCACCTGGTGGTGACCCCCTAATCAGTTCCCACCCAAGGCTGGCCAGAGCCTGAGCAAACACCAATCAGGAGGGTCTTTCTTGCCTGGTTGTAGACGCCATCCATATGCCAACGCTCATTCAGGGCTGGGGGTTTAACCCCAGCACTTCAATTTGACCCCTCCTTCCTTACCTATTGCTACATGAAGAGAAGAGAAGCAGCCTGGGAAACCATGACACTTTGTTCAGAGTTCATGACCATTGCTGTTTCATCAGGCTGTTGCTGTGAGAGCTTGAATGTACTAAATTTTGGCAGTGAATGCTACACTACAGAAATCTACTCAATGAGACTAAGATTTCACATTACACAGATATAGAGAGGCACAGCTCTGTTCCCACCCCTTGCTTCCATCACAGGGTGCCTCATGCTTTAAGTCATTCCAGCATAATTGTTCATGGAGCCACACTGTTCACTAGCAGTAGTCCACCTTGGGGGGAAAAAAACCAAGTAATAGCAAGTTTTCTGTAATGCTTTTTGGAAAATTGGATCAGATACATTTCACTCGTACAAAAAGCTCTTCTTGGAAAAAGTGAGACAAGCAGGGAAGTACAACTGGGAGCAGGAATGTCTTAAGCCAGCCTTGCCACTGAGGCGAGAGTACACAGAGCCACAGCTTTACTGTCTCTTGCTAATTCTGTTCTAGTTCACACGAATTCAAGCCAAGAACAAACAAACAAACAAAAAAAAGACTGGATCAGGCCGCAAACTCAGGAAAAGTTTTTACAAGAATAGTTCTGAAAAACACTGCCAATTGCCTGCAGTTCTCAAACACTGAGCAGGACATTCCCAGCTTTTTGCAGATTTCACTAACACATAGTTGCATTCCGTTTTTCATATCTAAAGGCATTCCCACAGTTACACTTGAGGTTTTACATCTAAGCACATTCCTGCAGTTACATTTCAGCTTCTGCCTCTTCTCTAACTTCAGACCCGAAAGGATTTCAGGCAACATCATCTTTTTTTACTTACTTTATTTCATAAATGATTAACTTACGTTTAAGTCTCGAGTTAAATCTTGTTTCAAAGAACATTATGAGAGGAAAAAAAATGAACTAAACACACAAAATAAACCCCACCAAATACAAAAAAGAACCCCACACAACAACAAAGGAAGGAAAAGCATCTCAATATTTAGACTGCAAATTTATATTTGTTTGTTTATAATCACAGTGCAATCAATTTTTATTTGTTTCTTTGGTATTAACATAAAAGCATGATTAAGTAGCTTGTTTACAGAACTGCAGCAAGATCTGATAAGAATTATTTTTTTTCCAGTGTCTTTAACTAGCAAAGAGCTCTAGCTCCACACGACTTAATGAGCTAAAAAGTCTACGATTCCAGATGAAGAAGAGAGATAAAGGCAGTTAGAGCAGGCAGAATGGAGACAACACATCTGCTTAGTAATTAAATCTCTATTCCGAGGGGGAAATTTTAGGACACAATAAGTTAAACTGGGAGAAAAGCAACAACAGAATATGGAAAAAAAAAAAAAAAAAGAGGCAAGTGAAGAAAGAAGTAAAAAGCAAAGCTAAAAGATATCACAGCCCCTCCACCAGCTGATTCACTGCAGAACATCTTTGAATGACCACAGGCCCCTGAAGTACCAGGCTGGTTCTCTGGGCTATTTCCCACCACTACCACATGATAGAGGGAAGGCACATATGGGGCCTACAGCTGGACAGGATCAAACAGCTGCTAGGATCCAACCAAACCCTGTTTCTTTGCCTAGAACTGGCTACTTGCACTGTTTCCATCATATAAAAAATAGTGGAAAAGTTAGTCTCATGCAGACATATTCACAGTACTAGACCAGCCCTGGAATACAGGCATAAGAACAATGGAGAGGATGCTCTCAGCCTATCCGAATACAGACACATATAGTCAGTAATGTATTACCACCATCTAGTCACAAAAATTGTTCTCATACTGGGTTAGGGAACACATTAAGAACAGCTGATCCAAGTTGTGCTATTTTTGTTTTTCTTAATACTTTTTGAGGCCACAGAATACAAAAGTGCATTTCTCTCTCTAAAACATCTGTGTCAGGAATTTATACTTAAAAGTTCACAGAAAACTGCCATAATTCTGAGTATATCTCATGTCCACACCAAGAAGCAGTCCCCATCTACAAACACAGGAAGTGGTCATAGACCAGTTGAGGGGCAACTGCTAGACATGACATGTACCAAAAATGCTGCTGCTTAGTGAGGCGGGAGCTGGCAGCAGGGTTTGTGTCAGGGTAATCTTCGCCAGAAGGGTCTGGCATTAGGTATAAGGATCAAATCTGCCTCAGCATATGAATCGAAGTCAAACATCTGTGGCTTCCAGAGATGTTCAAACACTGCGTGGCAACACACAAAACCAGAACAGCTGCTTAAGGGTGGAGGACAGCTTTTATAAATGAGCAGTCTCCCATACTTCTCATGCTCCATAACGAGGACTCTAAGGAATGTGTTTCTCTCCCCTGCTGTTCCTTCTCTCTCCACCCTCCTTCCTAAACCACAGTTCAGCCTGCTAGATATAGCTTCCTGCCCAGCCACAGCTGCAGTGCAGGAGGAATACAGGAGACGATGGAAGAAAACTCAAGACTTGACTTAGCAGCCTTTTTAAATGAGGATATTGTGATCAGTTACCTAGCTCAGGATACATTGAAGGAAAGCTGAACTCTCTGGTGTCCTTCACAGCACTCCCCTTAAGTAACCTGTGAAAGATTTTCTTCCAGGTGAAGGTACTGCAGGACTCCAAGAATCCCAGTAACCAAACAAAGATGACAACTAAACTCTCCTCTAGAAAAACATGTCGCTCTCATGCCACAAGCTGCAGACACGTGCTAAGGAAATAACTAAGTCTGGACTGAGCCACTGCACGCTGCTGACTGTCATGCCAAGCACGCTGTGGCCACAGGCAAGTGTCTGCTTGGTCTGTTTACTCTTACTGTGTAAAAGGTGGCAATGGGCATTGGGCACTTTAAAAAGTCAGCTGTTCTTCAAACGGTATGTAACTGCCACCAAGGCCACATCCTGCCTTCAGTCTTTCACTCCTTCATCCTGCTCTAGCTTGCATTTTCAGATGTTGCTCCTGGAAGTGGAATCAGTAGTCATTATACATTAGATGCTGACAAACCATGAACTGGAAAAGTTAAAGGTACTATGGATACCTAACAATTAATTATTATTAATTCTGGTATAAAAAAAATTCAAAATAATAAAAGCTCATTAATAATTTTTTTCCCCTTAGTTTTAGGGTTTGTGTTTTGTTTGTTGCCTTTTTTTTTTTTTAACTGAGGAACATTTAAAGCCTAAACCTTAGGTTCACATCTCAAATACGCTTTTAGAAAAATAGGAACAAGCACACAAAATAACTGCTATTCAGACTGGGACTTATGAACACATTCATGTATCTGGACTCATGAAATGGGAATAACAGTTTCTCATTACCACAATTTCAATTTTCTTACTGCTAAAGTCTTGCTTCAAATCTTGGAAGGACACAGCTCTCCTACCCACATGCATGCTATGCAAACACCCTCTAACACACAACTTGGACTTCCCTGAGATAAGTCCCTTCAAAGAGCAGCTACTACAGTTCAGTAGTACAAAGCTGATGTGCAAGACTAGCCACAAATTATCAATAGCTAACTCAAAGTATTCAGTTCTGACTACATTTACATATTTTTTCATCAACAGGACTATTAATTTCATGAGACCAGCTGTATATCTGAAGATTAAATAAAGAAGCACTACCACACTGCAGTGTCAGTGGAGAGCAATCCAGCCGTGAAGGAACAGAGAACACTAAACGTGAACCAGCAAGCAGACGGTACTGAGATTAACTCCCCCTTATCCTCTTCAATTGCATT